AATAATGAAGATGTAATACTAATCACTCCAAAAAATGGGGGAAAAAATACAGATTTTTTTTCATAGGAGCCATTTTCCTTAGATTATTATAATTACAACGTATTTTTTGCTACATATCAGAAGTCATATTTGTAAGTAAATAGATAAGGAGTAACCCAAGGCAAAAAAAGATTACAAATAGTACAGTTTCTGTTAATGCAGAAGTTGTAAACCTGAAGCTACTTTAAATATAATAAGGGATTAATTCATTTAATAAAGACTTGAAACAAGTTAGAGAGCCCTGCAGCAATTCAACCGCAAAATGCCTAGAAAAACAATCGGTGCTGCTGCCCTCCAACCTCTTTTGTTATTTTCTAGCAGCATATTGGCACAACTGACAAAAGAGCTGTTAATGATACATGCTGGATGTTTCTAGTCAAAGAATACTTAAACATCACTGCTCCACCATTGAGCAATGCCAGAAGACAGACCAACACACACCCCACAGTGTCACCAGAAGATCTCTCCAGAACATTTTACTACGTTTTACTAAGTATTGCATTAAAAAAAAAAAAAAAGCACCATTATATAAAGTAATTCCCATGCCTTTTTACCACAGAGTAAGCATTTCGTAAAAGATCTAAATTTAATCACTGCATACTATTAACCTGTGATGAATTAATCATATTTTCCAGTCAACCTAAGGGTGTGGTTTACCTTATTTGTATACAGAGGCATAGGATTCCATTTTTTTTTTCCTTTAAACAGAATACCAAGCACTAAGCAGCAAACAGTGAACTGAATATTTTGAATATAAGGTTATAATGTTTATCAATACTGGAGTGAAACAATGTGTTTTCACAGCAGACCAAAAAGCTCCTGTTGGAGTGTTTGGACACTGCTAAAGAAAACTAGTGGGAAAGAGAATTAGTGAAAATTAGCAGTAGAGGGAATTCAAAAACAAAAGGACTCGTTTGGCTTCCATTCGCACATTTGTTAGTTCATACAAAGTCTCCTAGGAAATTTTGAAAGGGGACCTATGAAGTGTACAAACTTTATCTTCTCATTTTATAGGCTAGTATCATAAACGGTCAATTATTTTTAAGTAATCATTGTTGATTTGTGAGATTCGCCAGTAAAAATTCACCTCAAAAAGTAAGCAAAACTAAAAGAGAGAAGACAAATACTCCTTTAAAACTCCCCACCAAACTCATAAAAATTCTTCACTAATAAAAGCATCTTGAAGAGTTTTACATTTCTCCAGGGTAATTATAACGTGCTGCTGAGAACACAATTTCTTTAACCACTTCTAACTATTCTATTTTCTTTTCTTAGTTAGATAATTGGTTTTCTGTAATTATGCAGACATATTCTACTTTATTATATAAAGCATAATCATTCTTTAAGATAAAGCTTTTAATTTGTTTGATGTAGTACTCTCTATTTTGAATTCTTTTAACCTTTTAATTATCTAGGTATTTGTTTTGAAATGCAACTTCTCAACATAGTTGTAATGAAGCATTTTAACAAAGTTTATACCTTTCCCCTCTTTGTAAAACATGTTGTCTTTGTGGCAAACAGGCAACTCACAATTCCAAATAAAGAATACTGGAAATTTTCCACTTGCATATTGTCCTCTGATTTCACAAAGCAAAGTGCTACTGCCTATTATTAAGTACAAAGATACAAAGATTATGGAATTAAAATACTCATGGATATGTGGGCTTTTTTCTTCCCAAGAGAAATAGAGGTGCTTTGGCATTTGCACCTCCATCTGCTAAACTGAAACAAAACCCTGAAAGGAAATATGTGCATATTTAGCTTTACTTAACATAAGCTGTACCTATTCATGCTACCTGTAGTTAAATGCATGTATATATATACACACACAAAATTACACTCACAAAGAATATACAAGTGTTGTCAGTTGTTAATCAATGGCACTTAAAAAGTGATGACTCAGTAGATTTTTGTTTGTGTTCATTAATTTGTGTTCATGATACTTTTCCTTTCTTTAAATGACAATTTTCATTAATAAAAACACTGGATGTGACATTCTAGTAAGACTTGTTCAGAAATTCAGGTTATTTTACTGAGTGTTTTATTTAAAATGTAATAACAAACATTAATTGTTCACACTGCTCCCTCTTGTGAAGCTTACCTCACATTTGCCAACACTGACTGTAATTAATATCACACTGACTATTCAGTGATTACAATACATACTTGACTAATGTCGAGGACTGATGACCACATATGAGGGTCTTTCATAGTGCTGTAAGCAGTACAACAGGTCATGCCAGAAATCTTCAAGTTTGAAGTCTTGATATAACAGAAAGAACAAGACAGAAGGAAAAAAAATACAGAAATTTCACAGACAGTGATCATACTAAATTACCCATTGACTTGCCACAAACATCATGAAAAATCATGGCAAAGCACTCACTCAGTCAATTATTGACAAGAGGTTTTGCTGAATGGGCGAACAGTGAACACCCTTAACAGTACTAAAAACTGAACTGCAGCCTGGACGTAAAGACCTAAAGAAGTCTGATCCAAAGATTAAAGCATACAGATCCAAAGGATAAACTGATGATAAAGCTGTCAGTAGCAAAGTAAAACAGGAACAATAACAAAGTACAAAGAAACAATATCAGAAGCAAAATTGCAGATATTTTCAGCTAGCAATGGTATGCCAGAGATATGTGAATATTATTGCTTGGAGAGAAACAAATTGGTCTGGAAGACAGCAGTAGATATACCTTTAGTTTCTAGAGAGATCATCCTTGAATTTTCATTTACACAGGATCACCATGAAAAAAGCTGCAGATGTAAACTGCAGACTGCCATTCAGTAGAACTAGAGCTTTAGAAAGTAGGAGGTGCAAATCAAGTGAAGGCAGATAACAAATCAAATTGCTAGGGAGAAAAGATGCAGTAGAACAGCAGAAAGGAAATCGTAGAAAGGCTCACTGCTGAAACAAAAAGAGGAAGGACATATGAAGTCTCTAAGAACCGGCAGCAGAAATCTCACTGGACAGTGCTTGCTTAAAAACCAAACAAGCAAAGAGCCCCTCTAGAGAACATGATATTCAAGGAAGCATCAGATCTTCAGCACAAAAATTGAAGTAACCAGTATTGAGTGCCATCAGTGTGCACCTTCCACAAAACTACATCCTGGAACTTAACTAATCTTTTATTATTATTAAACATTTTTCTTGTTTTACTTCATTTGTTTCTCAGCAAATAAAGGTATCTAAAAATATTTCTGATTGGCTTCAGAATAAACTTCTTTTTAATCATTTTCTCAGGGATCTGCTGGAAAATCCTGGAGAAAAAAAAATCATTTCAAGACAAAAAAGCAGAACTATAATTTTAAGAAATGCTGATAAACATTTATACTGTTTTTCTAATGTTTCTCCTTTTTACTGATTTTTACACAGGCATATAGTGATATAACAAGGGGGAATGTTTTTAAACTAAAAGGAAGATTTAGATTGCACGTTAGGGAGATGTTCTTTATTCAGAGGGTGGGGAGCCATTAGAACAAGTTGCCCAGAGAAGCTTTGGATGCCCCATATCTGGAGGCGTTCAAGACAGATTGGATGGGGCCTTGGAAAGCCTTACCTTGACAGTGGGAACTCTGTCCACAGTAAGGAGGTTGGAATTGGATGGTCTTTGGGGCTCCTTTGTTATATATATATTTATATATATATATATATAAAATCTGCATATATATATTTATATGCATATACACATGCAGATTTTGATTACATTAGAGTATAAGTTGTTTTAACTTGGAACAGCTTTTTGGCAAGAATATGTCTTGAGAAAAAAAAAAATAACAGCATAGTAATTTTTGCTTACGGGGGATTGAAAATTATTTTACTGAGCTGTGAAAAAAAAAAAAAAAAATGCTCCAAGAGCTTGTTTACTTCATAATCTCTAAGAGGACAATAGCTATAACTAGAAAAATATGGCTGCCTTTGTTATCATTCTGCAAAATCACAAAATGCTTCCAAAAATTTACAGATTAAGATTCTTCAGCTTGAGAAAAGAGTTGTCAAATAAAATGGAAAGGATGTAATAGTGTTCTATAAAATCAGGGATGGCACGGGATAAGGAACAAAGTGAATATTCACTGTCACACATGGATGAAGAGAAATCAAGTGAAATTAAAAAGTTGCTAAAAGAAAAGCATAAGCATGTTTCACATAATATGTAATTAAAACAATGGAACTCATTACCACACAACGTTGCAAATGAGAAATATAAAAATAAAAAATAAGCTGGATAAATTCAGATCTGCTGCCAAGATTAAAAAAGAAAATGATCTGCTTTTATTAACTTATCCTCAAGCACTGCATGATCATCCTATCAGATAATTAGATTCTTGAATTCTCTGTTTTCTACTGGAATAATTTAAGCATCATGCTTGCTATCAAATTTGCCAAAAGCTGCATTATGTTTTAAACTAACTATAAAGCAAAGGTAAGATTTTGCTTTTCTCACATCTAAGTCCATACCTGAATTCAGCACAAAAGATCTCTGAATCACTAATCTTGATTTAGACAGCTATAGAGCTATATAGTTACATTTCTAATTTCCAACATGAGAAGAAACAACTGCATTCAGGCAAAAACTTAATTGGACTGAGAAAGGCTGTAGTGAGAAAATTAGGCTGTCATTATAGAAGTGTACGAACTACTCCGGAAATGACTTTTTCTAAATGTAAACTGTTCATTTTACTATAAATGAGAAATAGCTCATATAATTTACTTAGTGCACTTTCATCTCAGTGGATTAATATAAATCTTTCAAAGAATATCAGATTTTAACAAACAACTCCTTCAGTCTTTATATCTTTTATTTATGGTACCATATTTAAGCACAAGTATTTACCTCCAAAAAGGAAAGATAAGAAAAGGAAAGTTATGTTTCTCAAATCTTTCTTCTGCACAAGATAAAGATTCAACAGGAGATCAAGTTAGAAAGCAAATGGTAGGAATGTACAAAATCTACCTGGATTGCAGCCAGATTCTTTTGTTCCTGTGATGGAGCTTCATGGACAAAACGCAGCCAGTTAGAATGGCGTGGATTGCTTGCATCCAGGATATAAAGGACTTCACCTTTACTGCCACGAACCTGAAACATTTCAAAATAAGGAAAATTAACATCTAGCACATCTACAAAACACACTAACATACAAAATATTAAGGCTTGCTGGTATTCAGCAAATGAATCTCGCATAAAACAAGTATTCCTCTTTATGCTTCTTTATACCAAATACAATTATTCCTCATACAAGAAACTCATGGGCATCAATGGGATGCACCCACATGTACTGAGAGAGTATGTGTATTGGCAGAGGTGATTGCTGAGCCACCTTCTATGATCTTTGAAAGATCTTGGCAAACAGGATCGGTGCCTGAAGACTGGAGAACAGCCAACATCACTCTAGTCTTCAAAATGGGCAAGAAGGAGAATTTGGGAAACTACAGGGCAGTTAGTATCACCTGCATCCCTGGAAAAGTGACAGAGCAACCTGTTTCAGATGCCACCTCCAAGCAACTGAAAGAAAAGAAACTTATCAGGAGGAGTCAACATAGATTCAAAAAGGGGAAATTATGCTTGACCAACTTGGTAGCCATCTATGACGTCATCATTGGGTAGGTAGATGGGAAGAGAGCAAAGAATGTTGTGTACCTTGACTTCAGCAAGGCATTTGACATCATCTCCCACAACACCCTTGTTATGAAATATAGAGTATATATATATAAGTGTTATATAGAGTATATATATATAAGAGTGGAATAGATAACTGGACAGTGAGGTGGACTGTGAAATGGCTGACTGGCAGAGCTCAGAGAGTTGTTATCAGCAGCATAGAGTCTTGTTGGAGGCCTGTAACTAGCGGTGTTCCCCAGCGGGGTTCTGGGTCTGGTCTTGCTCAACATTTTTATCCCTTCATCCAGGTTGTTGACTGAGTCCTCCCTCAGCAAGTCTGCTGATGATACAAAACTGGGAGAAGTTGCTGACACTATGGAAGGTTGTGCTACCATTCAACAAGACTTGAACGGACTGGAGAGTTGGCAGGGAAAAACCAGATGAGAATTAACAAGAGCAATTGTAGAGTCTTGAGCCTAGGAAGGAATAACCTCATGGATAAGAAATAATCTGCTGGAGATGAGCTCCATGGAAAAAGGTCTTGGGGTCCTGGTGGTCAACGGGTTGGCCTTAAGCCAGCAGTGTAGCCTTGTACCCAAGAAGGCCAATGGTATTCTGGGGTGAGTTAAGAAGAGCGGAGCCAGTAGGTTGAGGGAAGCGATCCTCCCCCTTTCTTCTGCCCTGGTGAGGCCACATCTGGAGTGCTGTGTCCAGTTCTGGGCTCCTCAATTCAAAAAGAAAAGGGATCTCCAAGAAGAAGTCCAGCAGAGGGCCACAAGGATGATAAGTGGCCTGGAGTATCTCCCCTATGAGGTCTGTTCTGCTAGGGAAAAAGAAGACTGGGAGGGGAGCTGAGAAATATTCATAATTATCTAAAGAGAGACGGGAGGCAAATGGATGAGGCCAAGCTCTTCTCAGTGGTGCATAGCAATACGACAAGGAACAATGGCCTAAAATTGAACATAGGAAGTTCTGTAGTAACATGTGGAAGAACTTTTCACAATAAGAAGAGCAATGGAGCACTGGAACAGATTGCCCAGAGAGATTGTGGAATCTCCTTCTATGGAGATATTCAAGACCCATCTGGATACTTATCTATGCAACTTATTGTGCAGTACCTTCTTCAGCACGGGGATTGAATTAAATATCTATTGAGGTCCTTTCCAACCCCCGTGCTTGTGTGTAATTCCAAATCCAGAAAATACCATTTCAGTATTGTCAGCACTACTGCTAATGTAATTGTACCACATAAATACTAAATATCACAGAAACTCATATTTTTTCGAAACTGTATTTTGTGATATGAACTTCCCTCCTAAGTCTCCCATAGTGTTTTTTCAGTTGTTTTTTTTTTTCCTTACACACATCAGAAAAACTATCTTCAGAACAGTACAAATGCATTTAAGCATTTCGCATACCCTATTTTACAATTCAGCTGAACATCTTTCATATACACCTATTCAAGAGAAATATAAATATGTAGCCCCAGTGATTATCAGTCAGTCTTAATTTTTTCAGTCAGAGAAGAGAGAGCTCCAAGAACACCTTGTACCAGCCCTCTGGTACCTAAGGGGGGTCTACAGGAAAGCTAGAAAGAAACTCTTTTTGCAGAGTGTAGCAACAGGACAAGGGTTAAAAGCTTAACACAAAAAGATGGTTGATTTAGATTAGATATTAGAAATAAATCCTTCACGATGAGGGTGGTGAGATCCAGAGAATCTGTGGATGTCTGGAGGTGTTCAAAGCCAGGTTGGATGGAGCCCTGAGTAGCCCCATCTAATGGGTGGCAATCAACAGCATAAGGATTGCAACTAGATGATTTTTAAGGCTCCTTCTAAACCAAAGCATTCTATGATTATATGCTGGCCTGAAATAACAATTTCAGTAACAACAAACTGACTTACTACATAGGTGAAGGGGCATAAATTATTTGATATGGCAAACAAACACGCTCAGATTTTGTTCACTAAGTGAAGAATCAACTTTAAAAAGTAGTGCTGTAGAACTGAAAGCACATGTAAGCACAACAGCTTTAACAGATGAATGAGTCATTGCACTGTTCCCACTCCAGAGCATCAGCTCCTAGTAGAACCAATGTCTTCAAATAATATTTACTAATAATTGTAACACCAAATCTAACAAATTATCTGATATTTCTGTTAGCAAATGTTTTAAAGAAAGAATTACTTAAGACACAATCTCCACATCAGGAGCTTTTGCATATCATCACAGACCCACAGAATTTCTATGATTGTGACAAAATACTAGTTTGCATTGTCAAAACTAGGAATAGAAAGAGAGACCTAATTTTAATCAAGTGATTCTTTGCTCTTATAACACAAAGAAATACTGCTGAAGTAATACAGTTCCATTTATGACATTTAAAAATGGCTTCCTTGTTTTCTTTTAAATAGTGTATCACTTGAATCTCTCTGAAACAGAAGACAGAAAGCCATGAAGAAAGGTCACAGGAACTACAAAAATTCCATGTGATTTATTTATATGAGGAACATATTTTCATCCATCAACAAGAAGTTTCCAGAGTAAGTATTTCCTAAGAGCTAGGGATTTCAGCTATGCAAGATCAAAATTAGATTGTTATCATGGCTTTGTATTTAAATTGTTCACATTCTTGCTGTATTTGTTTTTTACAGATGCAATATGTCTTCAGTATGTCTGCTTAAGTTACCTACACTTTTAAGATATCATTAGAAAAAAGAACTGTATTTAATTATCATAATTGCTGATGACAGCATGTTGTTCTCATATTAATACAAGAAACCTACTGTGGCTCTGCAAACAAATATAAGTCTTTGAAATATATTACTGTTGTTTTAAAGGAAGATGTATCTTAAGAAGCACATATCATGAAAAGGTGCCAATATTTTAAATTTTAAAAGCTATTCAACTTTCAAACGCACAGATTAACCAAAGCCAAAAGTGTCAAATCTACAGACTTAAACACACCTGGAAACAATATTATTTAACACTAAGTGGTAGAACACCTTCTCTAGTGAGGCTGCTGGATCATCATTCTTGGAACTACTCAAGAGTTGTCTAGACATAGTCCTAGAAAACTGGCTCTAAGTGGATCTGCCAGAAAAAGGGAGTTGGACCAGATAACCTCCAGAGGTCCTTTCCTGGCTTAGCTATTCTGCAATTTGCTGATTATTCCACTAGGAAATAATATCTGCTCCTTGCTGGAACTGTTGGGTTCACCAGTAATTTGGGCAGAATAACTGCAAACCATAAAAGTGAGTCCCAACTTGACACAAAAATACATGTAAATGGTGTATTTACCTTTTGAAAAGTTCCCACCCCCTTCCTCACAGAAGTATTGCACCAATTATATTGTAATAATCACCCTCTTTGAAACACCCACAGAGCAAAACTTCACTTGGCCTGGTTAACAGTGAAGATGAACATCTGTGAGCAATTGAAGTCAAGCTAATGGCTCTATGACTTAACTACAGCTACTAAAGACTGCATTAGGGAGGCCCACCATGCATGTCCTATAAAGGTTTCCATCAGATCTTGGGATTAGAAAAACAATCAAGATCCTATTATGAAAAGCATACGTTACACAACTAGCTTTTCATCCATTCTCCTGCATTAGCTTGATTCTTAAACTATGTAGCAATGACTTATATTCACAGCAGCAATATGTAGTCATCTCTGCCAATCCATGAAGAGATGCCAAATACAAAAAGACTTAACACAGAAGGAAACTATTGATAAAAGAATACAATAAATTCTTCAAAAACATGCTATATTTTCTATAGCTTTTTTTCCACCTCATAAAGAAATAATATTGCATTAAATGCACAAAGGTGAGGAAGGGAAAAAAAAATAGAGAAACACAGTCAAAACATCATACTTAACACAGACTAGATTGGTGATATTTACCATTCCTTTCCTCACCAATTAGATGGACAAGTGTGTGTTTTAAAATGTGTAAATGGTCTTTGAGCACCACAGCAGAGAATATCAAACTTTATCTATTTATTTTTTAAAATGCAACAAACAGACCAGCTCCTGCTTTGCAAGTATACTCTTCAAACTAAAAGGCAGTACAAACTAATCATGGTGGTTAAACAAAATAAATAGTTAGACTCTATAATATATTCAGTTGAAAGTAAGTGTACTTAAATATTATCCATACTGAACTATTAATGAATTGCAATGACAATTGGAGTATGTCCCAAAGGACGCACTCTCCAACAGCAGCTCACTTGAGTCCTCAGCCAGCCTTTTGCTTTGTGACACAATCACCAAACAAGAAAATCAGACTAGTGAAATCAGACAAACAAAAAATAAAACACTTTCACTTGGCTCATACTTTTTCATACTTAGAAGGAGACAGGATCAAAAATGGCTGTCACTAAGACAGTCACTGCTCTAATGGACCACAAAATTCTGCTAGCCATAGTGACTGGAAATTTCTTTCTGCATTCCCCATCAGCAGCACTGAAAAGCAT